TACATACACATACAAGGGAAGTCCAGTGAATACCCCTATCATTCAAATATGTGCACAAACAATCAGAGTCAAAGAAGATTTCTACTATCTTTGCAGTCAGATATCTATCAAACATGCAATAAAGATGACTGGAATGCAAAAGTTGGGAACAGAGAAGAAGATCAGTTGTTGGAAAACATGTACTTGAAGACAGAAATGAAGCTGCGGATAGAATGATAGAATTTTGTACAAGCAATGACTTACTTTTTATAAGAAACACAAATGCAGGCTGTATACATGGATTTCACCTGATGGTAAGCATAGGAAACAGATCAATTACATCTGTGAAAAGAATCACTGGAGAAGCTCAATATCAGCTGTGAAAACTAAGACAGGTTCTGATTGTGGAACAGATCATCAACTACTCCTATGCAAGTTCAAGCTGAAGCTAAGGAAAATTAAATCAAATCCACAGAACCAAAATTGGATCTTAAGTCTGTCCCATCTGAATTTCAAAACCATCTCAGCAACAAGTTTGAGGCCTTGAACACTAATGAGTGAAGACAAGATGAGCTGTGGGAGGATACCAAGAATATTACCCAGGAAGAATACAGAGGGTCAGTGCAAAGACAAACGAGGAAGAAAAGGCAAAGATCAATGTCAGAAAGGACTCTGAATATTGCACTAGAGCACCAAGAGGTCAAAGCAAACAGAAGAAATCAAGAAATTCAGGAGCTGAATGGAAGATTTCAAAGGGCAGCACGGGAAGACAAAGTAAAATATTATAAGGAAATGTGCAAAGAGCTAGAGTCAGAAAATCAAAGGGGCCGAACTTGCTCAGTATTTTTTTTTCTTTTTTTTTTTATTAATTTTAATACACATTTACAGAGGTTTTGGATTTCCATTCATTCATTGCCGCACCCCTCCCCACCAGTTTGCTCCCCGCTCCGAAAAATAAAAGAAAAAAAAATTCCTTCATTAGTATACAATTCCCCCATCCCTTCCCCCACACCCCCCACCCCAAGTACACTTCTCTATGCAACCTTAATTCTGGAGTCCTGTGCTAACCACCATAATACTCAATCATATATCACCTCTAATCTGTTCTTTCCCTCATCTGTCTCAATACAATATACATAATTTATCCCGTTTGTTTTTTTTTCTGTCAGACCCATTCTACAACAGTGGCACCATGCAGTATTTGTCCCTTTCTGACTGAGATATTTCACTCAGCATAATATTATTTCTTAAGCTCAAGGAACTGAAGAACAATTTCAAGCCTAGAATTGCAATATTTAAGGAATGTTTTGGGCAGACAGGAAGCAGTAAAAGAAGATGGAAAGAGCATACAAAGTCATTGTACCAACTGAAATTGGTGGACAAAGAGAATTTCATGAAACAATATATGAGCAAGGACCTGTGATGTTGAATGAAGAAGTTCAAGCTTCTCTGAAAAAATTGAAAAACAAAAAGATAAAAACACACACACAAAAACAAACAAGGCCACAGGAATTGACATAATTGATGCATACCAATTGACATAGTTCAACAAAGAGACGCTGTCCTGGATTCATTCACCAAGTTGTGCCAAGAAATCTGAAGGGCAACCATCTGGCCAACTGACTGGAAGAGATCTATATTTGTTCCCATTCCAAAGAAAGGTGACTTGGCAGAGTGTGGAAATTGTTGTTGTTGTTGTTTAATGCCGTCGAGTCATAGACGACTCATAGCGACCCTATGAACAAACAGCCTGAGCACTGTTCATACATAGAGTTTCCAGAGGCAAGCCATTTCGGAAGTGGATGCTGCTCCTGCTTCCAGCCTTGATTTAGTCGGGAAGCTCCAGCCAACACTGTCCACCATGGGTGCCCATTACCACGATTGGCACATCACTGTCACAGGCTTCAGCATCACAGAAACCACGAGTTACCTCTGTACAGCAACGCACAGATCAGTGCTATACCACCTAGAAGAATGTTTGACAGGCTTAAGGCCGCCTCCTGGTTCAAACCCTAGGCCCAGGCTGGCTAGCCTCACTCCAGGGACAGAGCAAACCTCCACATCAAACACATTCCTGGAAAAGCAGTCCACTCCAAAGCTTGCCACGATTCCTGCACTCCCCACCACCATGCTCCTGCCTTCTGGCAAGGAGACCTTCCCAGGAGCCTGTGCAGGCACCAGCCAAACCAGGAACAACATGGCCGCTTCCTTCCCAGCTTCCTTCGGCTTAAGGAAATTATCAAACAATATTACTAATATCACATGCAAGGAAGATTCTGGTGAAAATTATCCAAAAATTACTGGAACAGGTCATCAATAGAGACCTGTCAGAAGTGTAGGTTGGATTTAGAAGATAATGTTAGACGGATCTTGGCTGAAAGCAGAGAGTACCAGAGGAATGTCTATCTGTATTTGATCGACCGTGTAAAGGCATTTGACTGTGTAGATCACAACAAACTGTGGCTGACTGAGAAGAATGGAAATCCCAGAACACTTGATAGTACTTATGTGAAACCCATACTTGGACCAGGCAATCGTCAAAACAGAGCAAAGAAAAACTGCATGGTTCAAAATTGGGAAGGGTGTTTGCCAGGGATGTGTTATATCTCTATACCTTTTCAATCTATATGCAGAGCAGATTATCCAGGAGGGTGGGCTTTATGAGGAGAAATGTGGCATCAGAATTGGAAGAAGACTCATAAACAATCTGCATTATGTAAATGACCCAACCCTGTTTGCTGAAACTGAAGAGGACCTGAAATGCTTGCTGCAGAAGGTCAAGGACTGAAACCTTTAATATAGATTAAAACTCAATATAAAGAAAACAAAGATTCTCACCACTGGGCTGATTAGCAGCATCATGATAAATGAAGAAGAGATTGAGATTGTTAACAGCCTTAATTTACTTGCCTCCACAATCAATATTCTTGGCACCAGTAGCCAGAAATTAAAAGACGTATTGTTTTGGTAAAGTCTGCTGTCAGAAACTTCATAGTACTGAAGGGCAACGATGTCAGTCCAGAGACTAAGGTGTACCTGATACAGGCCATGGTCTTTGCAATCACTTGTTATGCATCAGAGAGCTGGACAATGACTAGTGATGATAGAAGGAGAATTGATGTCTTTGAGCTGTGGTGCTGGAGAAGAGTATTGAATATACCGTGGACTGCTAAGAGAACGAACAGGTTTGTCCTGGAAATGGTGAGACCAGGCTGCTCCTTGGAGGCGAGGATTCTGAAGCTTCATTTGACATATTTTGTACATGTTTCAAGGCGAGGCCAGTCTTTGGAGAAGGACATCATGCTTTGAAGTATAGAGGGATGACACAGGAGAGGGAGACCCTCAATGAGATGGAGTGATACAGTGACTGGGGTAATGGGGGTAGATGTTTCAGAAACAATAAGATTGGCACCTGATAGAGCAAGATTTAGGGCTCTTATACATAGGGATGCTTTGAGTTGCAGGCAGCTTGATGGGACATAACAACAAAAACAACAACATTCATTACTAGGGAGCTCTGATGGGCTAGTCGCAAGACACTGTGCTGAAATCCTGAAGGCACGAAGTTAGTTAGATGTATCCTGGATGAAAGCAGAAAATACCAGCATTTGCTTGAAAGGCATTTAGCTGCATAGATTATAACAAATTATGGCTTGTACTGAGAAGAATGGAAATCTGAGAACACATTATTGTGCTCATACAGAATCTATATGTAGACTAAGAAGTTGATGTGAGAACATAGCAAGGGAAAACTATATGCTTTAAAATCAGAAAGGATATGCATCAAAGTTGTCTCTTTTTTCCATTCCTATTCAAGCTGTATGCTAAGCAAATATTTTATAAAGCCAGAATCTATGAAGAGGAGGAGTGTGGCATCAGTATTGGAGAAAGACTCATCAACAACCTATATTTTGCTGATTACATGACTTTGCTTGCTGAGAGTAAGAAATGAAATATTTGCTTCAGAAGATCAGCCTTTGGTATAGATTACATCTCATTATAAAGAAAACAAAGATCTTCACCACAGTCAACATTATGATAGAGAAGTGATTGAAGCTGTCAATTATTTCATCTTGCTTAGGTCAACAATCAAATCCTTTGGTACCAGTAGTCAGGAAATCAGGAGATGCAGTGCCTTGGACAAGTCTGCTGTCAGGTATCTCTCCAAAATACTGAAGAGCAATGATGTCAGTTTGAAGACTAAGATTTGCCAGATTCAGGTCTGCTATACATGGGAGAGCTAGACAATGATTAAGGATGACAGAAGAATTGATGTCTTTGAGCTATGGTGCTGGTGAAGATCACTGAATATTCTCTGGACTGGCAAAAGATCAAACATATATATCCTGGAAAGATTTTGGTCAGAGTGCTCCTTGAAGGCAAGGATTATGAAGCTTCACCTTTCATATTTTGGACATGTGGGTATGCTAGGCTTTTCTTTAGAAAGAGATATTGAGCTTGTAAAAATGGAGGATCAGCAAAGGAGAGGAAGACCTCCAATGAGATGGATTGACACAATGACTTCAGCGATGAACTCTAGTATCTGAGATGATGACAATGATACAGGATAGGGCACAGAAACAGGCTGGCTGTTCATTGGGTCGCTATGACTCGTACTCAACAGCACCAGCACCTAACAACAACAATGTGAAGGTCACACACCCAGAGCCAAGAGGAAATGAGCAGCACACCTCTCTACTGCAGTAGAATGCACCTGGGTAAGCGTGTTGTTCTCCTTGGAATGAGGAACTGGAAGTGTACTACATACGTTCTGTTCTGGAGGTTTGCGTCCCAGTCCTCTTAATGCATCTGTTCACATGGCACATGCTGTACAGAATACTTTGAGTCCTTGCACATGAACTTCATATGATAGAGATGAAATGGGATAAAACTACTTTCAGGTGAAGATAGAGATAAAATTCATGGTCGGGAAGCACTCTGAGATTTTGTGGTATGACCTACTTCCACAGTATGAGTAACATCCTTCTCCTCTTTTTTTTTTTTTTTTTTACAAAGGCAAGGCTGGTGTGCCCAAATTTATTGAAAATATTACAGCACAGCAAACAGACTCAAACGGCTCCACGTGGTGTTTTGAAATTCATCCCAACTGTGGGCTGAGTGACCTGGAGGTTGGACAGACTGCCAAAGTCCAAGAGTTTCAGCATTTCCTTAGTATCAGGATCTACTTCAATGATCTCCTGATCCAGGGCTGAGACCTCTGGTACATAATTATCTCTCCTTTCTCTCTCCTCCTCCTGCAGCTTAATGGAGATGCCTCTCACAGGCCCTCTCTGAATCCGCTTCATCAGATGTGTGACATAGCCTGCTATCTTGTTCCGGAGTTTCTTGCTGGGAATAATGGCGATCTCCTCGCACACGCACTTGTTCGTGTGGAAGTCATTACCCAGGCGCGTGTAGTATTTCTCAATGATGACCCGGGCCGCCTTCTTCACGGTTTTGGTGCGAACGCGGCCCATGTTGGCGGGTCCTTGGTGAAAGAGCCATCCTTCTCCTCTTGACTTCTCCACTTGGAGTCATTTTCAGTGTTTCCCACAACCTACCAACCATGAGCACCTTGTCTTTCTGCCATAATAATCTTGTCATTTTTCAGCCCTGGGAAAAACTCACCATCTGTTCTTGTTTATTTCTCACACAGTCTTTTTAACTGCTAGTGATTAGAAGGATAGATGAAGCCACAGAAGTTGGCTTGCTTATAAATGTTCGTTGTCTACCCAGGCTCACCAGCATGTTCGTTTCTCTCTAGATCTAACACCACAGCTCCCTCTACTTCCATTCCACCTGTCCAGCTCTGCTTTTCCCTCCCAGTCTTCTTTGAGGATTGATGCTGTTATATTCCATTGTTTTCTACTTCCATTCTTGCTGTTATAAAACATGTTTGGCCTGTCATCTCTTGGCATGTTCACTTCTGAATTCAAGATGAAGATCTTCTCCCCTCCTTAATTCAATGGTTGGTTCTAGAGAAACTCTTCGTGCCTCTCCACCTTCTTCTCCTTCCTTCATTCTGCATCACTTTGTGATGTTGTTGCATATCATTGAGTCAGAACTGACCCATGCTAAACCACCTCTGGGTTCTCAGAGGAAGTAAATCACACTTGAGGAGAATTCCTAACTTTCTCCCCTGAAGCAGTTAGTAGATATGAACCATGTGCTTCTGGGTTGAGAGTGAAGGCCTTTATCAGTAGGTCACAAAACCTCCTTTCCTTAATTCTCAAATGTTCAATGTCCTATTATCTAAATAAATAAGGGTCACCATTTTGCCAGCTTTCCATGCTTGAACATTTGTATTTTACATCCATGTTTGTGTTGTTTGGTGCCACTGAGTAAAATTCATAGAGCCCCTACACACAACAGATCTGAAATCTGCCCTATCCTAACCTTACAATCTCTGACACACTTGACCCCATTGCTCTAGTCTCTGTGTCAAACCACTTGGTGAAGGGTCTTTTGCCCTTCAATGTTCCTCAATCTCCCCATGTATGATGCACATCAGCAAGGAATAGCCTCTCCTTAGTAATATGAGAACTTGTGGAGGGTCAGCTATGAATAGGGTCAGAATCAACGACACATACGATGACGACTTCACAAACGGATACAGAATGAAGGAGGTGTATATGGGAGAGGAGTGAAGAATTTCATTAGTGTCAATACCTCCATGCCACAATTACCTCTTCGTCTAGGTTTAGGCTTAGCATGTGCATAATTAAGTATTCCAACTCTTCTCAATGTTAGCCATAACTTTTTAGGATCCACATAGTAAAATGCCTTTTCATAGTCAATAAAGTAAAAATAAATAAATAAGTAGATAGATAGATAGATAGATATCCTTCCAGTATTCTTTACTTTTAGCCAGGATCTATCTGACATCATGAGTGATATCTATCTATGGTGTCACAGCCTCTTCTAAACCCTACTTGAACTTAGGTAGTTCCACATCCACATATTTTTCTAGACATTTTTAAAGTCTTTAGCATTATTATACTAGTATGTGATATTAATAATATTGTTTAAAAGTTTCCATATTCTGTTGGATCACCTTTCCTTTGAATACTGTTGTAGTTGTTGTTACGTGTCATTGAGTGGAGTACAACTCATAGTGACCCTATGAACAAATGATCTGAACCCTGTTCTATCCTGGGCCATCCTCATACTTCCTAATACACAAGAGCCCATTGCAGCAGCCACTGTGTTAATCTACCCACATTGCAGCAGTCACTGTGTTAATCTACCCAGTTGAGGGTCTTCCTCTCTTTTGTTGAACCTCCAGCCTTTCTAGAATCATGTCTGTCTCCAAGGAATAGTCCCTCCTAGCAACATGCCTAAGTATGTGAGTTGAAGTCTCATCATTCTTGCCTCCAAAAAGCACTCTAGCCGCACCCTCTCCAACACACATCTGTTTGTTCTCCTGTCTGTCCATGGCATGTTCAATGCTCTTCTCCAAAACCATAGCTCAAAGGTGTCAATTCCTCTTCAGTTATCCTTATTCACTGTCCAGCTCTCAGTGCATAACAAGTGATAAGAAAAACCATGGCCTGAATCAGATGCACCTCAGTCACCAAACTGACATCAGTACTCTTCAATTATTTTGAGATATCTCTAACTGTAGATTATAGTCTGACTACTGGTACCAAGGGTCTTAATTATGGATTAAAGCAAGATGAAGCTGTTGACAGTTTCAATCTCCTCTCCATCCATCATGATTCTTCCCATTGGTCCACTGGTAAGAATCTTAGCTTTCTTGACATTGAAATGCCATCCGTACAAAGGCTACACTCCTTGATGATCTGCAATAAGAACTTCAAGTCCTCTTTAAGAAAGCAATGTTGTGTCATTTGTACAATGCAGGTTATAGATGAGTCTCCCTCCAATCCTGATGCCACACTCCTCTTCACAGAGTCTAGCTTCTAAAAAAATTGGCTCCGTTTATAGATTGAATATGAAGAGAGAATACAACCCTGACACAGTCCCTTCTCAGTTATAAACCATGAGGTGTTCTTTTCTGTTTACACAACAACCTGTTGCTCCAGGTATATGTTCTGCATGAGCACAATTAACTGCGCTGCGATTTCCATGTTTCTCAATGTCAGCCACAACTTGTTATGATCCACACAGTTAATTGCCTTTGCATGGTCAATAAAGACATTCTTCTGGTATTCTTGACTTTGAGCCAGAATCCATCTGACATAAGCTATGATATCCCTGGTGCCACGGCCTCTTCTAAATCCTGCTTGAACTTCTACAAGTTCTAGCTGGTTTTGAAAGATCTTCAGCAGTATTTTCCTTGCACATGATGTCAATGTTTTTGCTCAATAGTTTCCATATTCAGTTGTATCACCTTTCTTAGCAATAGGAACAAATATGGACCTCTTTCAATCCATTGGCCAGACAACCGTCCTCCAAATTTTCTGGAAGACTGGAGAGTGCATCCAAGGCTGCATCTATTAATTGAAAAATGCCTGTTGTTATCCCATCCATTCCTGGGACTTTATTTTTTGTCAGTACTTTCAATGCAGCTTCTACACCTCCTTCATTACCATTGGCTCCTGTTCATATGTTACTTTCTGAAAATTTTCAGCATCAATCAATTATTTCTGGTATAGTGATTCGTGTATTCCCTCCATCTTCTTTTGATGCTTTCTGGGTCATTCAATACATTGCCCATGGCGTCTTTTAATATGCTTGAATTTGTTTTTCAGTTCCTTCAGCTTGAGAAATGCAGAGTGAGTTCTTCCTCTTTTATTCTCCAATTCCAGGTCCCTACACATTCAATTATAGTACTTAGTCTTGTCCTCCTAAGCGTCCCTTTGAAATCTTAAGTTCAACTCTTTCATTTAACATGTTTTCCTATTGTTTTGTCTTCTCAACATTCCAGTTCAATATTTAGAGTCTCTCCTGACATCTATTTCAATTGTTCCTTTCTCCTCTGTTTTTGTAAGGATATTTTGCTTTCTTCGTGGACACCATCCATGATAACATTCCACAAATCATCTGGCCTTCTATCATTGGTGTTGAATGCCTCAAACCTATTCTCAAGATGATCTTGAAATCAGTTGAAATGGATTCAAGATCATATTTTGCTTCTTGTGGCTTTATTTTCATTTTCTTCAGCCTCAATTTGAACTTGCATATGAGTTATTGATCATCTGACCCACAGTCCATCCCTGGGCTAGGTTTAACTACCAAGATTGAACATCTCCAAAAATTTCTTCCACAAACATAGTCAATCTGATTCCTATGTAGCTCATCAGGTGAGATCCGTGTGTAAAGTTGTTGTTTGTGTCTTTTTGTTTGTTTGTTCGTGTCTTTTAAAAAAGTATTTGCAAAGAACATATCATTGTAAATACAAAAGGCAATAATTTCATTTCAAGCCTCATTTCTATTACCAAGCCCTTGTGAATGGTAACATACATAGGTTTCTTCCAGTCAGTTGGCAGGCAGCTGTCCTACAAATTTCAGGCATAGACTGATGAGTATATCTAGGGCTGCATTTATTAGCTGAAACATGCCAATCATTTCCCATCAATTCTTCTCTCTCTCTCTCTCTCTCTACTAGTTTATTTACAAAATTGTAATACAAACTCAAACAAATTTTTCCAGTTCCCCTCACCCCTTACCCATCAAATTGTACAACCCAATGATTAATTCCCCCCTCCTCCTGCACATCTACATCCCTCTGCTTCTAGCCTGTCCTACCCTTCCTTCCTGGATCCTATACTCATTCTACAATAACTGTTTTATATAAATATTTATCCTTGCGGGACGATTTCATTCACAGCATAATGCTCCCCAGTACTTCCCAAGCTAGGTAATAATTTACAAAATCATTGCTCCTGCGTGCTGCATAGTATTCCATTGTGTGAATGTACCATAATTTCTCAATTCATTCATTTGTGGTTGGACATTTGGGCCATTTCCATGTTCTTTGACCTTATTTTTTCCAATTAATTCAGTGCAGCTTCAACTTCTCTTTCATTACTATTGGCTCTTGTTCATATAGTTTTTGTAGTTCTTGTTATGTGCTGTCAAGTTCCCTGAGACTCATAGTGACCCTATGTACAACAGCTCTGAAGCCTGCCTTGTCCTGAGCCAGTTTTACTGACTCTAACACACCTATTCCACATTACCCCAGTTACTGGGGTAACTTATCCGAAGTCTTCCTCTCCTGTGCTGTCCCTCCAGTTTTCTGAGCTTGATGTCTTTCTCCAAGAACTGATCCCTCCTGGCCACATGCCCAAAGTATGAGATAGAATTTTAAAACTCTAGCCTCCAAGGAGAAACTTGATTTCACCTTCTCCAAAAAAGACGTATTTTTTTTCCCCTTGAGTCTATAATATGTTCAAGACTCTTCTCTAGCACCACTACTCAGAGTCATCAATTCTTCTGTCATACTTAGTCATTGTCCAAATCTTAGCTACATAACAAGTAATTGTGAAGACCATGGCCTGGATCAGGTGCACTTTAGTCCCTAGACTGACAT